CTAATTTATTAAAAACTATAAATAAAGAGTGGCTCATGGGGGTATCAAACTGGAAAGAATTGTTAAAATGTTAGCAGTGATGAAGTAGTGGATCCGTCGTATCTTAAATTTGATATTAAGTTTTCGTGAAGCATACGAGTAGAACCAAGTTGGAGATAAGGGCCAATTGAAAAAGACTTTGAATGTCCTGAAATTTGAACAAGTTCCTAGTCACACATTCGACCTATAGATAATAATTAATGAAGGCACTTGCCCGATGGGAATTATTCGTGATTTTGTTTGCTTTGATATCAAGTCTGATGAGCCTGGCCAAATTTTGGATCCATTTTGAAATTATATTTATACCAGCCTTTAGAGTTATCGTGTATCCAGTACGAATTTGAGGTTATTAATAGACCATCTGTTGTTAAAAAGAAAGAAAATATAGAGAAAGGGTCAAAAACGATATTATAATAATAAAAACTTTGAAACCACTGTCTGTCTGTGGCACCGTAGCTTTAGTCATTTCAAAATCATCAGCTCATAATACAGTTGGTGTAGGAATCAGTTTGGTTCGCGCATTGATTGTTCGCGTGAAGGTGGAGATAGCGCGTCGACCGTTGCAGCGAATCTTAACCAATTTCAGAAATTTAATTTAAATTATATTTTGTTCAAAGGTACTGTAATAACCCAAACTTCCCGCCTTTAAATTGACCTTGAAAGAGTTTGAAAGGCCCGCGAAAAATTCGAAATTTCAAAATTTGGCCTTGGCTGTGATCGTCTAACAAATGGGAATCTACGTTGTGTGTTTCTTTTTTTGAAAAGTGGCGAGAAGATGTTCTTTCATACAAGTGCCTACACTGCGTGTGAGTTGAGAGCGCAAGAAATAATAGACAAAATTTAGGGAGAGGCACCCTTCCTTAGGAGGAAAAGAAACGAAGATCGAAAGTGACTCAGCGTGCCCTTCTGGTGGTTCCGCAGGGCCAAGGCGTCATCGATCTTCATTCCCAAAAACCTCCTAGGGCTGTATTCACCGAAATATTACATTTCAAACACCTTAAGATATATGAAAAAAAAAACACTCGCGAATTGACAGACATACACATAATGAAAAACGAACAAACGCAAGATCCTGTACATCTGTTTGGAATCAATACAAATATTTGAATATCACAAATTTAATAAAAACAAAGCAAAATCTGAATTAAGTAACTGGATGCAAATACACAAGTTATTACGGGTGTGTGGCGGCAGATTTTTAAAGTTACGGCAGTTAACAGGAGCACAAGAAGAATACCCCTGGGCATTCTAGCATAAGCGGAGTTTGAGGCTATCGGTCTGGGGCTGTTCTCCCCCCACGACGGTGATTCTATCTATCACAAAGCCTACCGGCGAAACTAGGCCGCTACGATCGCAGATCCGTAGTGGGGTCTCGGTTAGCACGAAGCCGACAGCGTTACAACACCGGCGATTGCCCCCTGACTCTATACAAACCTGTGGATTTGTGTAATTGCCACACTTTTTCAATGATTCAAACAAAGTGTTTATATTATGTCAAACTATATCATGGTCTAAGTGATTGGTTACTTAAAAAAAAACACCAACTTCCTTTGAGAGTTTAAAGTATCGCGAACAGGTTACCCCAACAAAACACATAATAAACAAACACAAAAATATCCAATCATCGCTCCGAGGGAAAAAGCGTCTCGGTGATGTAAATTTTAAAATCGTTGCGAGGAAAAATGAATTAATCAATCTGTAGCGTTGTGAGGGCATGCCTCGATTAATTAATCAATCTGTAGCGTTGTGAGGGCATGCCTCGATTAATTAATCAATCTGTAGCGTTGTGAGGGCAGGCCTCGATGAATTAATCATGATAACGATGATAACCACCAAAAGGAAGAAATTATCATAACCCCCGCCAGTTCGCAGTATAATGAACTTGTTTAACTGCCGTAAATGAACTATTAGCAATCTTGTGTGTAGAATTAAGAAGTGTCATAATGTAACACTTACGTATATGCATCCAGAAACTTATTCGTAATTAAACAATAAGGTGTTTTCCTGATTAAGTGAATTTCATGAAATCTTCTAGCAAGATGTTTATTTAAATAATCCTAAGAAAAACTAACTTGATTGGTGAATTAACAAACAATGAAACAAATTTACAACACGTGTTTCGTGTTGACCGGAAGTCCGCATTTTCCGATTAAAAGGCTGCAAGAATTAACCGCGCGGGTTGGGGACACCTGAGTGACGTTGGCTAGGATTAATTGTCGTTAAACAAAGGCTTCCTCCCGTTTTATTAACTACCAAACCAACTAATTTAAACTAGCTCTTACCACGTGGTTACACTCACACAAGCACCTTCAGAATGACGCTACGCCATGCCGCCCTTTTTGTCTCTACCAACCAACCAACCTTGTAACTAGACGTGCCGCCATCTAACTTAATAATCATGCAAAACTAACCCCTAAGCGCTACGTGCATATTTGGTTGCCTATGTTTAACGATTTCCTTTTTGTGATTGAATTTTTTTTTTCTTTGAAATTCAAATTATTCAACTGTGATTTCGCGCCGCTGTTAATTAATTTCAGCGCGAAAACTTTGATTTAAATTCGGTCACCACAGTACTTTATAATTTTGAAACTTTTGAAGCTAAATTTCAATAGACACGTTATGTTTGAAGTAATTGGGCCTTAATGCCTTGTATGTTGTATGCATTTCTGACGAGTGTCAATTTGTTCGTAAGTCTAAACACAATAAATATTATGATTTTTATGAAGACAAAATTTTCAAATGTTCATATCCACGTTGTTTATTAACACTTGGGTATCACTCAAACCTTTAAGTTGTTTTCTATAAAGTGTTATATTCCATTTGCCAAACAAATGGGATCGTAAAAGTGTGTAATCTTCACACGATCTTTTAAAATCCTGATATTAATGGTTGAAGAATGTTGTTTTCACACAGCTCAACAATAAAATTATTTTATTCTATTTTAGAACCATAATCTTATTTATAAGCACCCAAATGCGGGCTTAAATTGGCCTTTTTAGCACAAATCTGTCAAAAATTGCTAAGCAACAATTGATTGTTCATTTACTCTAATCAATTAATTATTCAAACACGCTTCGATATTCAACGTTTTTCTTAAGTTGGAAAAACAATATTTTATCAAATCATTACCTGACCGACTTCAAATTCTTCTAAACTTTCGTTTGAATAAACGTTTTCTGCTTCTTTAATTTACATTTTGAAAAACGAATTATCAAATAATCAACGTGGTATCCATAACAACATCAAAATAATAGCCAGCTATGTATTTAAATTCGCATCGGCACAATTCACACAGTCTTGCCGAAAATACTCAATATTTCGTTAAAAATAGTTTATAAACTAAAATAGAATAAAACGTTGTATGTACCACGTGCATAATTGTCGATTGTGGCACTCAGGAAATTAAAAGCCCTCCTTCGTCGGGCTTTAAACATTCCCTCGTGCCACAATCTCCCTGATTATGCCCTTAATACATAAATAACTATTATAGCTTTCATTTCCGCTTAAGTCATGGAGCGTTCACGACTTATGTAAATAGTTGTTAAGTTCTTGCAATGTACAGGGTGATATCGAAATATTTGCAATAATTGTAACCATCTAGCAAAATATGGTGGTGCTCCATCATGCAAGTACCACCGTTTAGTCTGTTTGGTAAAACATAAGGTCCAACTAAGCGGTCATTTACGATATCGGTCCACACATTCATGGAAAATCGTCGTTGAAATCGTACTTCTTGACGAGCGTGTGGATTTTCATTGAACCAAATGTGAGTGTTGTGGCTGTTGAAAACAGCATTGCGAGTGAATCCTGCTTCATCCGTTAAACAGAATGCAATTTAAAAAGTTAGGGCGTTCACTACATTACTGTAACAACAATTCATAGTAAATTACACAACGTGTAAAATCAGCGGGTTCCAAAGTTTGCACATTTTGAACGTGGTATGGATGTAGGCCTTGTTCTTTTAATATATGATGCACTACAAACTGTGAAATTTCAACTTCATCTGCAAGTCGGCGAGTGCTGATATCGGGCTGTTCTTCGACGCGTTCCAAAATTTGTTCGACAGCTTGCAGTTTTCTTTCGGTCTATCACGGCCACGAGGCTTCAAAAGTATCATGATCTCGGAGATGCTGTACCACTGATGTAAATGTTCGCACACACGGAATCGCGCGATTTGGTAAGCGCTCGATCCACAATTCGCGAGCCATCTTGGCGTTTCCATCAGCCACACCATAAATCATTACCATATCGACACGCTCTGAATTGGAAAAATTCACCATTGTTAAAGACGGCCACCAACTGATACACGACTGGCCCTTATTGTGTTTTTGCACGTTGCTTATCAGTGCGCCGCTTTTTTGGTTCTTAATCCTAGTCGTTCTGTGCCATTTTACTAGACATTGCTACTATTTAGGAACGTGAAATTTACATAGCGCAAAAAATCTTATTGTGAGCTATTACCCCCTTTTTTTTTATTACACACAATTCTAAATCACTCTGTACATACCGAGAAAACTAAAAAACAGGATGAAAGCAGCCATAGATTTTTGACGACTAGATAAACTTCCAAAAAATTCATGGTTGTCTTTGATCGTATTTTTAATTGCTCTCTCAGTATAATAATAGTTATTTGTATGGTTATAGCGCGAACTGGTAGTTTAGCTTAAAAGTTCTTCGAAAGCATTAGAGAACAAGTCACTCTCAAAATTTGTCTTTTAATTACTCTGGCGAATTGTTTTAAAGTAGTTGATTTATGGTTATTATTCTGACCATTATTTTTTTTTTGACCAATGTAATAACTAGTAATCTGCATACAACAACGCCATGTGCATGACATTACAGCATAAGCGCCCATAACCAACTGATTTATTATCACAGGATGCCAAAACCACACTTCACCGACTTATCATCAGTGCCCACCCGCTCTCTTTCTCCGTCATATTCACTCAACATTGCAACAATTAAACACACTTGTTGATGCGCCCAACAACTGTATTGATTTTGCCCAGACATGCTCAGTAGCATCAACCACTAGTCCACAACCCGCAATATGTTCGCCGCTTAATTAAAAACGCAATAAAATGGAAGATTTATTGTTAAACATCGTGAAAGAAGCCACAGGTACAAAATTAGCGAATCTGAAACAAGGCGCACAAGAAGCTCACGGTGAGTCAACCCCTTGTCTATGTCCCAAGTGCTTCATTATCACCTGTTTTAGATTTACTCTGTAACCAAAATAATCTTTTACGAAGTCCTAGCCACGAACTGCGAACTTCTTGTTTCGTCCCTTTGAAATTAGCCTTAGAGAGCAAGAAAAGTAAATTGGTGTCCTTGGCGCTGACAGGGTTTAATGTAAGTGTTGACATAATTGACGCAACAAGTCCACTTTGGGTCTTTATTAATTAGTTGTCATAACAAATGTTGATTGTGGTTGTTTTCTTTACATACGGAGATAGCGTAACTGGTTTAGTTGCGTTGTTGCCTAGGTTTGTCAAAAATCAATATTTTTGCAACAGATTTAAACAAGTTGGTGCTTTTTAAAACACGAACATTGGTCGTTTTTGGTCCTAAATGTCTTAAATCAGACAACTATTGCTGAATGGTATCGATTAAAATAGCTTCAAAAGTAAATCAAAAAGAAAATGACATGACGCCACACTGACGTGACGGTGGGGAAACCAACAGCTTGATGGTAAATCAGGGTGAGTCATAAGTGCTAAATCAAGCGGCTGTCAACACTGACGCCGTGTCTGACTTTCGTCGCAAATTATTTTATTTTGGAAACAATGAAAACTGACAAAAAATGAGTTAATGTTTTTAGTAAATTTGTTCTCAATTTGTTAGCACCAATTATCGATTAAAAAGATACATTTTTCCGTAAACGAAAATTATTTTCGATTTGTAAGATTTAGTAAGTTCGATTTCATGATTTCTCAACCTTTGATAACTCCGACAATATAAAAAATTAGGCCTCCGTTTCTTTCTGTGGGACATACGTTTGTTAAGACGGATAGTCCCCGAAATTAGTAATGATTGTCAAATGCTATACTTATTGTAAGAATTTCGTGCAGATGGTAAAATGCTAACCAAAATTTATTTGATCATCCACACCAAAAATCTGATGATTCTCAAAATTTCAAAATTTTTTCGTGTAAAATGTACAAAATAATCTGTTTTTATACCTGTGATTTAATAATCCACTCCTATTTTTATTTTTATAAAATTGTACAACGAAATTTTACTATGTATTTTTTTTTAATGCAAAAAAATTTTACCAAGGTTATTTATACCCCTTGAATGTGATACAGTCCATCAATAAATTCAGCTTCCCCGAAAAATTATAAAATTAAAATACTCTTGTAGTTTAAAGTTGAAATGTGTAATGAACTGTTCAACTACAGGTAAACCAGTCACAGTGTAAGGAAAAAAATTATTATACCGGAGATCGAACTTGTCACTGGGCTATAGCCCATATGTATATCTAAAATTTGACAACAATCAGTCCGGCTGTTTCGTAGATTATTATCTATCTAATATAAATCGACACAGACAACAGACGACAGGCAGATGGAAACTCAAGACCTACTTTTTCGTACTCTAGCTTTCGAGGGGACATGAAACGTCGAGAATACATGAAAGTAGCTAGTCGTTTGATTGACGCTATTACGATACTTATTTCGCTTACGTTGCGGAAGTAAAAACATTAGTATTGAAATTTTTAGAAAACATTTGTTATTTAATTAATACCTAACTATAATTACGTTTTTACGAGATTCAAATTTCTGATGAAATAGATTTAATGTTAGCTGCTGACCCACAAACGTTTATCTTTAAATGTACACTACATAAAACAACTTTAATGTGCAACATTTGGACTCCTCCAAGAATTAGCAGAAACTCTCCCGATTCATCTGTTATGAAAAGCTACATTTCTTATGATAAATGATTCCGCATCGCTGCATGGCATGGCTCCATGGAAATGGGAAGGAGTATTGTTCTGTTCAAACCATTAGTTTTGTTTTATTTCCAAGTTGACAGTTTCTTGGAGATATTCGTAGGAAATTTAAACAAAAAATTAAGTTTAAATTGTCTCTTAAAAAGTAGATAATAATAATGATTTTATTCGCCATACATTTAATACAAAAATGTTAAGGCTCTTCAGTAATAGTTATTTGAGTATCAAGACCATAAAGAAGATCTGAAGTACAAATCAGATGATTCCGAAAAAGTGTTTAAGTGGCTTTACAACCGTGGTTAATATACTATTTTTTTTTCACTAGTAGAAACCATAAGACAATAAACTGAAAAAATAAACGTTCACTTTTTTGACGCAACATGATTTTGTTTTGATTTCTAATCAAACTTAATCTAAATCTTCCACACAAAGAAAACCGTTTACACTTGTCGCTGAATTAATCATTTTATCTTCCACCATCTACCAACTACCATGCGTATACTCAAGTAATGTTAGTAGCACACATTTATTCATTTTTTAAGAAATAATCACATCAAGTATTTCGTACATAACCTCAATCTTCTTTTTGAACCTTGGTCGCAAAAGTTGAACTTTGCTACCTCTAAATAAGTCGACATTTGCATGTTTCTTGGCTGCTAGTGAAAAAAAGTAACTTTGACATTTCAGTATGGGAAAGGGGGGCAGAATGGGCCAATTTTAGTATTTTTGCTTTAAAAATATTATTTAAAAAAGAAATTTTGTTTATTTTTTTTTAATGTAGCTTAAACAGTGCTTTATTAAATAATGTTGTGAAACTAATTTCTTTTAGAAATCCACGAATTATACAGTGCATCTTTTTTAAAAGTGGCCATAGGGATTTCCATGTTAAATTTTATACCCCGTGTTAACTTATGTTTGAGGAAAGATTCAAAGTTGAAATTTTTACTGGATGTAATTTGGGTCATCTTTTGTCGATTTTAGTAAAGGTCACACTTTAAATTAAAAGATATTTCTTTAAAAAAATTAAAATATTTGGGTCTTTTTGTCGGTAATATTGTAGGCAACCATGTAGAAACAGACATTTCCCTGACGTATCTAAAATTTGATTACTCGTTCGATTACTGGTTTTTAGTGACCGAAAAACAAAAAGTGGAAATCCTCATTGATGGATACATTAAAGGCTTATCGACAACAAAGAAATTGCGCAAAATTTTGCTGCAGCATACCAAAAGCGTCCTATACCCGGTAGGAGTCCAATTTATAAATTTTATGACAGATTTATGTAGGTTTTCTCAAAAAATAAAAACGCAATTTCAGTGAAATTTTCTTTTATTTCCTTCATTTATGTTTGAATTTCATCATTCTGTTTCTTTTTTAAAAACTGCAGTAATAGGTATTTAATGGATAAATTAAAATTATATTGTCAAAAATGACAAGTTAAAGTGATAAGTCAAAACCGGTCAAAACCTGCTATAATGTGCCAAAATTGTTTAATCAAAATAATTTTAATTTTTTAAAGCACAAATTAATAATTTACTGCAAAAGAGGTAGTGGAAATTAAAGTAAAACCCTAAGGCTATTTTTACCGAAAAAATCATTTCTGGGTTTTCACCCTAGCAAAAGTTAACATGGGGTCAAAAATTTAACATGGAAATCCCTATGGCGACTTTTAAAAAAGATGCACTCTATATTTCTTTTAAAGAAGAGCTGAAAATGACTCAAAGTATGTTGTTTGACAAGCTATTTTTGGGAACTCAGTCATGAAAATAATAAAGAAACTTGGCTCAAGGGTTGTGCTTTGGAGAACACCAAAAGTTACGGGTTTTAATTCACACTACTCATTTTTTTCTACAACTATTTGACGTCAGAAGAGCCACCAAACACTCCAAGGGTAGATTGTTCGAAAAAGCCCTTTTCTGATTAAATGGGGGTTTTCGTGAGAGTAATAATATCAATTGTGCCTGCTCCATCCAAAAAAAAAGAACCAGATTGTAACAATAAATTCAAATTTTGATTTTCTCTAAAAAGGTTGCAAAGGTCGTTTTTAGATCATCTGTGGCTTAATTCTCCGGCAAAAATTAAATGAAAACCTGCTGTTATGGCAGCACTTTTCGTGGATTTTTTCTTCTTGTGGCGTTTCTGAAATCTCGCTAATATTCTCTTGAAGAAATATATATTAGAGCCGGTTTACACAAGTTCAATTAAATATTTGATCGCGATTACATTTTTAACACGCGTTGAAGTATCGCGTGACTGACTCTACGTCAATCAGACGTCACTAAACGCCTCGTTAAATGCGTGATTAACTCTATTTCAGTTAAAATGCTGTATAAACGGGCCCTTAGTCTTATAAAACTTGCATATCCAGTCCAAGAACCGTTTTTTTCACGTTAAATTGTCTATTAATAATTTGAATACATTACTTCAAAGTATAACCAAGACTCCTATAATGAATAACTTTTGTTGCTTTAGTATAATCATAAATAATGCCAAGATTGGAAATTACTATTTTAAGTATAATATATAAATTATTTAAAAGGAGGTAAAAATCAATCAATCAGATCAGTCACGACTGTTGTATTCTGCTATAACACTTTAGGACAGGACAGGAATTTAAAAAAATATCATCTAGTGGGTCATAACAATTATTTTTAAAATAATGATGTTGACAACACTAGCGCGTTTCTTGTTCAGTTTGATAGTTACGCTCAAATAATTGTCAAATAAACTATTAACTAGTAGCTACAATGCCAACATCACGATTTCAAAAAAAATTTCATAGTCTACTAGAAGATTTTTTTTCGATCATCATATTTTGTTTAACTTGAAATATTCTTTACCATCTTTAATAAAACACCACCTGTTGATTTTACTTAAACTTTAGCAATGTGTAATAGCTTTCGGTTGATTGAGAACGGTTTTTAGTTAGAAAATTGCAATATCTATCAAAGTATATAGTTAGTTCTATTCTGAAGGATTTTCTCACACTGATAGAATATAGATATGGATGTACTGGTACATATTTTGCACACTCAAGTGTTCAAGAGTCAGACCTCAAGTTAATGACTTATTATTATTAGAATTAATTGCAAATAAATAATAATTTGAACCAGAGTCAGATTCTTCCAAATTTGTTATGAAAAGAGGTTTGACTAATCAGTTCTTTGCAATGTTTGTTACCATTTCCCCACATACCACTGTCACAATTGTTGAAAGATTTGGTCTATAATGCTGACGTAGTTTCTTTCCCTGACAGTGACTTTATACTTTTATTGCAATATATTTTATAATCTCTCCACAATAATTCTATCGAGTTATATTGCCAGTGGTAGGGAGGAAGTCGCAAAACACCGTAGGTAACCATTAGCATACAACAGTTCATCTATTTTTTATTTGAATGATTTGGAATTATCATGACTACGGACCATAATTCTCTATTTGTAGCTTCATCAACAAACAAAATATTTATTTTGGCGAAGAAAGATTGTAAGATGTATTTTTACTACTGCTAGTCGGTGATTTTTCTGCTTTCACAAAGTTTATGGAGCATTATCCATTATAATAACGTTCTTCTTAGGTAACCAGACATTGTTTTCTGGTAGTCTGTCATTAATCTTACTGTCCATTGTCGCTTTCTCTCAGATGTTACTTTAGCTCGTTGTCTCCTTAAATCAGTTAAATGGACTCATATTTTGACAGAACTGCTAATTTGGTAAAGTCAAGTTTCATCCAAGAACATAAAATTTCTCTCTATTAGAATACGATGACACTCAGATTTTTTATAATTATGTCTGTTATTGATATCTACGTTTTGGGGTTTTAAAATGTAGTTCTCTAGTTACATAATCACTGGTAAAATGTTCATTGCTTTTGTGAAAGTTAGTTATTTTTCGGGACAACTCCTCTCTGAAAAGGTGGTCGGTAAAGATTGCCAAGGGACGATTGGTGCGTGTTTTGGAATCATGTAGGTTTCGCCTTTCGTCTGTGTTCTGATAATTCTGTCGGCAATACGGACAGATATCTGGAAAAGGATCTACATAGGATGTGAAAAATCTCTCCAGAGTTTAAAGAGCTTACAACTCATATAACAAGTGAAGAAGAAACAGAACATTGTATTTTGATTTATTTCGATATGTAAATTTTTCGAAATTTTAAAAAAGGGCTTGATTAACTTACTAGTTTAACATATTTTGAGTTTTCTTTTAATATATCGCATTGTTAAAATAATAAGTTATTCATTTTATGTTTGTTTGTTTCTTTTTTAACATGAATCATTACAACTGTAAATATAAATCGCATTCATTCTAAACTCCTACCCGCACCTCAAATTTAAATCTGTGATAAAAATATTCGCCACCCATAATGAAACATTTCGTGAAATATTTCAAAATGTTTATTTTGTAAAATTTTTACGTCACTACGTGTTATTAGTGAAGATATTGAGATCCATATGTTTGCTGCTAAATTTATGTAATAACTAATAATGTGTCGGTATGACATTATCGGTTACGAACTATCAAATCATCTTGAAGTTTGTTTAAATTTTAACGCAATCGTTTAAATAGTTTCACATAAGTATATCACGTGTCTAATAATATCGCCAACGAAAAGACAAAAACGAAAACATATTTGTCATCCAGCACACGCGAAACGCCAAAAAATATAAAATTAAATAGTTTTCGGGATGAACTTACTATAATCGTTTTGTTGGCCGTTGCTGTAAGTAAAAATATAACAAAAAACACGGTGTTTGCAAGAACAGCGGTATTTAAAACAAAATTATTAAGGGTTAACTTATTTCACAAACCGTAATTACAGTAGCATACTTAGAACAAATCAATAATAACAGTTATTGACAAAGATAAGTGGAATACAGTTAGAGGGCAGACAGACGAACAGGCGGAAACGGAGGACCTCTTTGTCGTATTCTAGGGGTTATGAAACGTTTAGAAAACTTGAAATTAACCATTCGCCGGATGGACGTATTACAATACGAAATTGGAATTTTTTAATTTGATTCAAAACGTGACATTGAAAAGTTATAAGATTTTTGAAAAATATGAGCGTTGAATTTGCAACAACACAAACCTACTAGGTACATCATGTTATCACATGACTGATGTTGGCACCACTGCCGTCTTCTTTTCATCATAATGGTTACATCTTTAGATCACCAACTGCCAAAAATAAGTTAAAACAACTTCATTCTGCTTTTGGATACAGGGCAGTGTATTAATAGTGTCTAATACGCATGTTAAAACTGCTTTATTTTGCTTGTAGGGTTTCTCTACTCAACGTTTGGCCTTTTTTTTTTGGAAATTTCCGTAGTCGCAATAAAATTGTAGAATTTTAACTATTTTCTTAAGAAAACATAATACTAACTTAGCCAAATTTATCAAAGTTATTAATTTGTTAAATGTAACGTCAAACGCGAAAACTTTTCAGTTCAATTAATTTTTGAAAAAATACTCAAATTTTAAACAATAAAAAAAATGCGACGAAACTTTTTTTTTAATTCCGTCGTTTTTCGTTTATTTTCCAGAAAATCGTCCGAGATGAGCGCTTTCAGTCGGGAACTGAGCCCGAAGATGATTCACTTTGGCTCCCTGCACAGCTACTTTTGGCCACGTCGTCGATGCTCTCTCAGTGCGAAGACACCCAAGTGCAACTATTACGCGTGGTCCTTAATTTGGCTTGTTCTGCAAGCTGGGCTTTGAATGGACGACTTGTCATGCTACTGATTAGTAGATGTGGCGAGGCTTACGAAAATGGAACACAGCCAGTTAGGGCGGCGGCACAAGCGGCGGCGAGCCAAACTTTGACAGCGTTCTGCACATTTTTGGGTATGATGCAATTTTTGTAAAAATTTGTATTTTCGGACACCGGCGGCCGCTACGTCTAAAATAAAAAAATCGTTTCAGACGAAGAATGCCAAGAAATTCTGCAGCAGCAGCAAAAGCACAAAAATTCAGGGAGCAGCGCTGAGATGGTCTACACGAAAACCTCAGCAGTGGCTTGCTTTAACGAAGCTATCCCGGTTATGCAATATCTTTGTAGCAGATTAGAAGAAGCTAAAACGTAAATTGTGGTCTTTGTATTTTTTTTTTTTTGAAATGAGTACTTACAGGCAACCGAAATCGAACGACCTCACTGTTTTTCTGTTAGAGTGTCTTCTGACTTTAGTGAACACTTTGCCTCATACTGTTCATTCTAATATTCACTTCACGACTTTTCTTTGGCAGAGGTTCTGTCCGGCACTATTGTCTCTGCTAGGAGCTCCAGGAGATCCATCGGGACAATGTTTAACCACAACTCAGTCAAAAATCGTCTACAGGCAAGTAAATACATCACTGTTCGAATTTAGATAAATTTAATCTACTTAACAGTATTGGTATCCAAGTTGTACGATTAGTTGGTCGAGAGCGTGCTCTGCGCCCAGTTCTTGAAGCCCTTTTTCATCGAATGTTACTGCTGCCGAGTCCCATAAAAAGGCTTGAACCTCTCAGGGCGGCTCGAGAGCTTCTAAGATCTCCTGGTAGACTCGCAGACTTGCTATTATTAAGTGGAGCGATACATCGTCATGCTGGAGACGACATGGCTATCATCCGATTGTAAATTTTTAGACAGTCTTGATAAACCACTAAAGATTTTTTTTTAGAATCATGGACTCCATCGAGGAATCATCGCAATGTAACGACACAAATGTTCTTTTGGCGAGTGTGGAATGTGTCGGGGCACTTTTAGGATCCTTGGAAGCTTTATGTCGTGGCGAAGGTCTTAATCAAGAAGGAGCCGAGATTGCAAATTCTCGCTATATAACTTTAGAACAAGCGGATTATACTGGGCCTTTGACGTACCAGTCGTTAGCTAGACTACCTAAACCATATAGAGATGTGGTTGCTAATTTAAAATGTCAGAGTGACTCAGACAGTAGTGGCATCGAAGGGAACATTCCGGACATCGAAGGTGGGTCCGAATCTGATTGTTCAGGAGCTACCGAGGGACCAGAAGAATACGGCAGCCAATCAGAAGACAGTATTATGGACGACGATAGTTTCTTAACCAATCAACAACTGCAGAAGCTGCACAAACTTCCAAAATCGCTTAATCTGGTAACGCTCTACCCTACTTTCTTATATCTTTAAATTTATAATCAATTTGAAGGGTCGAAGTGGCTTGGAAGAATGCAATACCGACATGGAACGACATAACGCCAGACACTTTGTTAAAACCCTCCAAAACATCCTTCTACCAAATCTCCTCTCTTTAAGATCATCGATCCAGGTACGAACTTGATACATTATTCATTCCGAGTACAATTCCGAAGTTTAGGTTGATGAAGTTCTCCAAGAATTTGCTTCAAAATGTTGCCAACATAATTCCGCCCAAAGTTATGAAATTTCCACTATCATGAATGCTGATGGTGTATACTTGGCAACTTATTCTGCTCTTCTGCTTGATTTGAAACTCATACAGTCTGGCCACTACGACGTGAATAATAAAGATTCAAGTGTCCCAATAACAGAAGCTCAGTTTGTTGAGGAAATTCACGGTAGCGGGGTTCTAGTTTACGTATCGGCAACTTGGTTGTGCGAACTTTACCAGAATGTTCTCGCTAAATCGTTGCTTTTATCAGCAGGCTATGATTCTAAGAGTTTACAACAACCGGCAATTGTGAATTTATTAACAGGTTGGAAATTTAGGTATTTGTAATTTGTTCTAAAATTGTGTTTGTAGATGTTGGAGGCTTGTGTCCCTCTCAGCTTCTGTCAGACTGGCAAAAGCTTCAAAAGGTTCACGGAACGCCGGATAGCAGCCCGGAAGTAGACGCCGGTATTAAGTTGTCAAGGCGAGTTCTGACGTGTTGTTGGGCTTCTGTGGTCTCGGTGTTAGGGACTCCGTTGGGTGAAAAGACTAATTTCACCGGAACTTCGGCTTTGAGTCGATTAGTAGCACGTAGAGCTAGACAGAAGCACCGTCAAAGAGTGCGAGATGACATTATCACCGCTTGCCTGGAAGGTCTTCATAAGGCAATAAATTAACTATGAAACGAGTTTTTTCTAAAAGTGAAATTATAGGCCGCTAGTTTGAGCAACATCTTGAAGCTCCAGTCACGCAGCTGCAGCATTTTATCTCTGCTATCAGCTTCTTCGTGTAAAAACCAAGGTGCCAAGCTTCCGGCATCTCATGCCTTATCTTTGGATGTTCTTCTCTCAAAGGGTTTGGCACTGGGTTCCCACAGCGCGGCTTGCTGGCTTCACGTCTTCAGTGCTTGCGTGGCCGTAGCCAACCTCGAACACGCCCTCTTCAGCAAAACCGGCTCAACCCAACTTCTAATGGTGGCCCAAAACACCCAAAACAACACTGTCACATCTAGCACTTACACTAACAGTAATGAACGCTTAAACATGGCTTTCAATATCAGTAACGACGAAGAAACTTGGTAAATGAGCACAACATTAATTTGATTTCTGTTAATAGGACGTTTGGATTGCAGTGTGGATGTGTATAGTTTCCTCCACAATGCATCCTACTCTTCGAACGGGAATTCCTCCCCAAACGACGCTTCTATCGCCGAGATTGTAGAACGAAGCGGCGCACACAATGCCCAAAGTCAAGGAATCCTACGCGGAGTTCACGCCGCTAAAGTCTGTTGCGTGTTGTCACAGAAAGCCGACGAGCTTTTCCACTCAGCGGCCTTAAGGTTGTCGCTACCCGGACTCGGTAGTTTTCTCACCGAACTTTGTAAAGCGTCACACACTCAGGTATGTTGTGTTTACAACAAGATTGTGACCCGATCTTTCACTACTTTGTAGCTCTTCACCCGCTACGAGGACACCCCTCGCCAACAAAAAAAATGGTGGAAGAAAGAACTCGAAGCTCAACAAAAACCCCCAGCGACGCTTCTCCTCCACCGCATCGGCGAAGTCACCCTTAAATGCATACGATCGGGCCGCCCCCTCATCCACACCATGAAAGTCTGGTCCATCGTGGGCCCCCACTTCATGCAAGCAGCGTGCCACAAAGACCGCACCATCTCCAAGAAGGCCGTGCAGTGCATTCACGATGCAGTGACCGCACTTCTGAACGAGCAAGCCGAACTTCCGCATTTCCATTTCAATGAAGCGTTGATCAAACCCTTCGAAAATCTCCTTTGTTTGGAGCTGTGTGACCTGGATGTGCAAGACCAGATAGTGTCTTGTTTATGTGAGTTTGTGGAAGCCAACAGGACTGAGATCTGCTCGGGATGGCGGCCGCTCTTTGGAACGATGCGAGTGGCTAATGCCAAAAACAACGCCGGTGCCATTTTGGACGTCTTCAGGATTTTCCTCTCGACGGACAACACGCTGGTGTTTGCGAATGCCGCCTTGGATTACATTCTTTGTCTTTTGTCGCATATTAAAAACGCGAATTTCGATGAGAGTGAAACTGCGGTGGTTGTTAAACCACAAGACAAGAAGAATATCACGTTTTTGGACAAAGAGGGAGATTTCCCGTCTAAGTTGATCATCGGGCCGGTGGATTTGTGTATAGAGTCGTTGAAGCTTCTTCAGAATTGTGCTGCAATATTGTCTATGATGTTCAACATGCCCAAATGCCCCAATTTTAACATGACGCACCGAATGAGTATTGACACCGATCCTCAACTGGTTGATCCTGTCATCCAGAACATCGAAATAGTTAATTTCCATCAAGATGCAGTAGACCCTATTAGTTACAGCGTTCTGTCTACTAGATTCGACCTAGAGCAGTGCGAATCTACTGGAATCACTTTAGCAAAAATGGATCGTCAAAGTAACGTCCTGAAAATTTGGTACATCTTACTTGAAGGTCTCTCCTCAGCTTCGATCATGGCAGCCCAAAAGAACCAACCCTACGTAGTCGAAACCCTCTTCAAGCTACTACGAGACTTAATCGACAACCCAGGAGTTAACTTCGGTCTCTACTGCATCAACCACTTGCTTCTCCCCATGGTCCAAAACTGGATGCGCCAAAATTCCAAAATCCAAAAACCAGGCGAAATCTGGCAGAACTTCAAACACTGTTGTGGCTTAGCAAGTGAATTGGTAGTGGATTACTTACACCATCTGCAAGGTTTCGAAAGAAAAGTGGACCATCTTCCTGAAAACCCTGCAGCCACGCTAGCTCTCAAGCAACTTCTACTAATTCTAGTAGAATGCATTACCCAACCCAGCGAAAACATTGCTCGTCTGGGCACTTCTTGCATCCGCCACGTCATTTTGAGTGCTGGTAAAGTGCTTACACCTCCACAGTGGGAGATTTTAGTAGTGGCCCTTCATCGAGCTTGCACCATAAGTCTGAATCCTTTACACCAACTGACGCTCGCCTTTAAAGAAAACTCCGACAGCTTCTACGGTGACCTGGCCACTGTCAAAGTAGCAGCTCGCAAAGATAGCACAGTTTCCGAAAACGAGAGACTCTATGAGCTTGCACAGCAAGTTTTCTTGATGCAGTGCCAACGCAACTGTCAAAAATGTACAGGGAAGTTATGCGAATGTGATGTTAATATTGTGATTGATGATCGCAGTTACGTCTTCCTTTTGTACCCGTTGGATATGTCGTCTATTTTGAACCCAGATTTGTACACTGTGAGGGTTCCGTTCAGGAACATGGTAGTGGGGATTCTGGCGCACCAGATGCTTATTCAAACTATTTCGAGTGCGCTTTTGCAAAACTTGAATCATATTACACCCATTTTAAACATACTGCAAATCAGTTCGTGTAGTTTGAGAGGGATTTTGACACACGTGAACGCTAAACACGTGGATATCTTACTGAAGTGTTTGGAAGTTAGTAATGTGAGGGCTAAGCAGTTTGATGTTAGACCAGGGTTGAAGTTTCTGACTCAAAAAGTAGGGAATTTAAATAAAGCAGCTAATTTATACACACAAGCTAATACATCTGAAGTAGTCCAGATTATCGTTTTGATTGAGCTCTGCCTAGACGGTATCGAGAAATACAGAATCAAACCCAAAGATCTGAAAGACTTACTAGCAAAAGACGTTAAAGCCAAATGTACCACAGATTTAGACTACGTCGAACAATTCTTGAAGAAGCTACAAAACAAGTGGGAATATTTATGCGAGTCGTACATAAACTTGACCATAAATATACCAGAGAGCGTGAACCAAGACAGCGATGACGAACTGAAGAGCTCCAATGACAATCTTAACGAAATACCTGTGAGCGAATCATCCGGAAAACCGCAACCGTTTAGCCTGTCGGATTTCAAGCAAGAAGAAGACACTTTGAGTTCCAGTACCGATTCCGACGGCTACTTGGAAAAAGAAGTACTACCTAACATAAAAACCGACGACGACACAATTTACGAAACCACCAAAAACGAAAACAAGCTGAAACAAAGTCAAAGCTTAGACGACTCTGTTCTAAAAAAGAACAAAAACGAACCGTCCTCTACCGACGACGAAACTAACGAAATGGCAGCTAAATACACGAAGCAAGCTTACGATAAGTACAAAATCGAACTTAATGCAATAAAGTACGACACAAACACGCTTTTGCAAATGAGGAAGTCGACTATATCGAGCGACAATATAGTGGCGAGTTGTGGGGATGGGCTTGACGGGAAGAAAACAGTGACGCCTAGTCCGAGAATAAATCCGTTTATGGTGTCTAATGTTGTTCCACCACCTCAACCGATTCCACCTGAAATACAACAACAAAGAGCCATCAGTATCTTCAAAGTAAGTAGAAAAATATTGTTTTTGATGACTGTATAGTTACTGTTGTTTGTAGGACTCTGAGGCGTACAAGACTACTCGAATTGAAACTATGGAAGCTTGTTTGGAGTTGCTGAGTAGTCTGTCGTCGGAAAAATTATCTCCTCTTGCCACAGTTTTGAAGCAAGGTGCTGTTTTATTGATAGCCGCTCAAGATGAAAAAATCAAGACCGCGGCCGAAAATCTTCTGAATAGGATGAATATATCTTATATCGACCATGACAATTTCTAAATGTTGTCAATTTGTTAGATGTAGTCCAATCGTGCACTCTTAAGGGTATATGCTTTATGATGATTCAATCTTTTACGAATTCCTTTCAAAGACTGGACCAGAAAGTCTGATTTGGCAAGCATTATGTCGACATGTCTATAGTGCTACTTATATTTGTTTAGAGTTAGATTTAGTTATAGCATATATGTAAAAATTGCTGTATTTTATGAAGAATGTACAGAGATGGTAGACAATAAAGGTTGACTAATCGTAACCTGGTTTAATTTTACACAAAAATATGTACTTCATTTGAGAAAAATAACTCAACTGGACGGTTTATTTATCTCGAACTACTTGAAAGATAGATAAGACTTTAATTTTGGAAACATAAGTGCCACTTGTTGGTTAGCGTAGCGAACAGAATGTTGATTCTTAAATTAACTCTAACCTTTCTACTTCTACTAGTAGAGTCAGGTAAGTTTAGAATAATTTGTTAAATTAGTATTTATCAAAAATATAATTTAGCAATTACATCCCCAAATCATAATGTCAGAATACTTGATGGACAAAAAGCTGAACCTGGACAATTTCCGTTTCTTACTGGACTTTTCGTCAACATAGAATCGACCGAAAAAGCGTAAATAATAAGTAGCAACTAATTCCAATTTCCATTATCATTATTATTATAACCACCACAGAAATTCACGACCTTCGCTTCCATATGTTTGGTGCAGTGCTGCCATTCTTGACAAGTACTGGGCTGTAATTCCAGCTCACTGTATAGCGTGAGTATTAAACACCTTTTTAAAAACTATTGTCCAAGAATCCCCCAACAGTGACTTCGAGCCCGAAAACTACTGCTTGCTAGCCGGTACTAACGTCGTCGACAATGGCGGTGTCAACTACACCGTATCTTCTGCGGTTTTCCATCCAAACTACACCAATACCGGCTTGGTTTATCTTAACGACGTCGCCTTACTCAATGTAGAGGAGGGTTTCGCTTTGAGCGAACTTGTCAAGACTGTCGAGATTGGTGAAGTTGAGCCTAACGAACAGTGTACTATTATGGGTTGGGGACAGCTGGACGAGTACTACTTCGCCAACGAACTTTACTACACCCAACTTGATACAATAACTGATGATGATTGTAGAGATTTGGCAGATACAGTACCGTACCCGATTCATTTGGGGGGTGATGAAATTTGTACTTTTTCAGCTGATGGTGTGAGTGTGCCTTGCAATGCCGATGCGGGGCCTCTGCTTTGTGGAGATAAGGTTGCGGCTATGTTGTCTTATGCAATTTTTGGGTGTGATGCTACGCTACCGATTGTGTATACAAGACTTGCTTATCATGAAGAGTGGATCAATAGTGTTATTAATTCTTAAGACACCTTTAGTATTTCTTCTAATAGATAAATGATAAGAGTTTTCTTTCAAAGAGTCTGTATGAAATATGTACTAGTAATGTGTATATAGGCACTTTAATACATAATACATCTGCCTGTCAACTTATTATTAACCTTGGCTTCCACAGCATCTATACTAATTAGTAAGATATTATTTATCTGTAAGGTAAACATAATGTTAAACATCCGATATACACCAATAAATCAGATCAGACCAATTAATTGTCAAACTTGTTTTTTTTTTGTAGGCAGTCAATTTAAAAACAAGTAGCTATCAACATTTATTATTCAAAATAATTCCAGACTGCATTCCAAAAGCGAGGAATTTGCGTAACGTGCGTAAGATTTTTTGTAAAGTCATCATGAACTATGTAATACTACCTGGCTTCTCTATAACCAAGGTTAAGGTTTTTACAGACTTTTCAAAAAATTCAGTTATGTAAATATTTGAACAAACTTTTTAAAGTTACGATATTAGTTTGATGTACGCAATATGAAGAGAAATAAATTGAAATCTGTTATACACAACTTTTAAAACATGAAAATGAGTTGCTTGCAAAAATAACTTTTTGCAAAAATCTAATTTTGAATCTACAAAACCGAATGCTTTGAAATCTTGTAGATATTTATTATAGGGTGAAGGAAATTCTGTCGAAATAACCTTCAACCCATTTTTTGTATCGTAATGACATGTGTGTCCTGGTTGTTATCATCAAATGTTGAACTGGGTCTCAAGTAGGCATTTTGTGGCTTTTTCCTATGCAAATTTATTAAGATCCGTTTTTTTGTCTTGAATGGTAATTAAGCCTAATAACTAAATATTTCCATGAGATTTTTTTTCATACGCAATCCAACAGATAGACGCTAAAGATACTATTCGAACTGGTTCAGTTCATTCAGAGTGGTCAATTATCTTTCCATCATCCGTAATTATGTCTTCCGAAAAGAAAAACTTATACAGAACGTAATTTCAAAAAATATACTATTTCAAACCTAAAATATTTATTTTAGAGCTGCAGGAAGAAAGTTCGTGGCTAGAAACTCTTTATTGACGGATATTTTCCAAAAAAGTGAAAATGCCAACGTCTACCATATTGTTTTGCTTATTTTGTCCCATTTTTTTATCGCCACAGGACTGAACCAGTACACACATAGCAAAAGGTATGAATTAATTTTTAAAAATTGTGTATTCAAGCTTGACTGATACACAAAACCCTGTATTTTACTAGTCTTTTTTTCTTTTTTTTGTTCTCTTTCTTTTTTGTTACGTATTTTCTATGTTCAAAGTTTATAGTTATTGAGGTTTTTTACTTTTTGGAAAGACACACCGACATATTATAAGAAAGAGAACAAAAAATAGAGTAAGATGCGGTGTAATACAAAAAATAACACAAAGGTGTACCGTTTCAGAGATTTGAACTATGAAAAATTTTGAGATGGCATGACATTGATAGGGAGATTGGGCAAATTTTGGTTAGCGTTTTACCATCTGCATGATATTCCTAATATAAATATAGTGAACCAAGAGCTATAAGGTTATATGGCCATCATAAAATCATCCCATTGTGTTGAAATTAAGTTGTTTACAATAGAAAAGGTTTTAGGGTTGTAAATAACGCGTCTACTGCAGCTCGAGCGGCTCTTGTGGTTTCGTTCAGGGGCGGCTTTCACTAAATATGAAAATCCACCACTCCACTATTTTTTTACTACCTGCAGCCGCTGAGGGTTCCGAAATAACCACTCGCTTTGAAAGCCGGCCCTGTTAAATATGAGCAAGAAATGTTTGGAAGATGATTTATTGCCAACCGGTAAGCTTAGTGCGAACCACACAAAGAGGGTATTTATTTGCGGTCAACTACTTTTATGATGGCCATATAACCTTATAGCTCTTGGTTCACTATACAAAGTTTGACAACATCGGTCCAATACTTTCGGAGATTATCTGATTCTGTCTCATAAAAATTCGGGACGGCAGACAGACAGACGGACAGACAAACAAACGGAAACGGGAGACGTATTTCTTCGTACTCTGGGGGTCATGAAAGGTCGAGAAAACGTAAAAGTAGAGAGTCGGTCGACGAACTCGCTTACTATTTGCCAAGGGCTAGTATTTGCCAAGATAAGGTTCATATTGCCAAATAACACACCTTCTAAAAAAATAAAGGGCGGGTGGGCGGGGATAGTACTTGGTAAGATAAGAGTGATTTTGCCAAATGACTCAGCCTGTAAGAAAATAACGGGTGGGTGAGAGAGGCTATTACTTGATAAGATCGGATTGATTTTGCCAAATGATATATCCTCTAAAAAATCTTGAGTTTCTAGGTATTCCTGTTTGGAAAGAATTTGGAGGTGCTTTGTAGCCTCTAGTGTCTTTTTTTATAATAATTTAATTAAATTTCTTAGGATACGTCATTTAAGTCATACCTCATTTGCCAAAATCAATCTTATCTTAGCAGGTACTAGCCCCGTCCACCACCCACCCTCCCTTTTCTTAGAGGGTATCTCATTTGCCAAAGTCAGTCTTATCTTACCAGGCTACTAGACCCACCCACCCACCCTATCTTTCCTTAGAGCGTATCTTATTTGCCAAAATCAATCTTATCTTACCAGGCTACTAGCCCCGCCCACCCACCCTCTCTTTTCTTAGAGGATATGTCATTTGCCAAAGTCAGTTCGTTTTAATATGTGTAGACTTCTTTTCACAACATGAAACTTAAAACATTTAAAATGGAAAATTTGTATAAGGAAATATCGATTTTGCAATTTCTCGTTGTGAAAAGATGGCTATGTATATTAAGAAAGAGAAAGGCAAAATGTAAGCCCCGCCTACCCACCCTACCTCGATTCTGGTGATTTTTTTTTTATTCGTCGTAAGCCGAGGGGCGGAGCTTAATTGTAAAATCCTCATTTTTCTACGGGAAATTACCATTTTAAACATATTTTAGGTTCCTAAGAATAAGAAAAGGTGCACAATCGGGATGGGGTGGGTATATTTTGCCTTTTTTCTTAATGTATGGTATTCTGTGCACAACACGATACTCAAAGAATTGATTTTAATTTTTTGTAAAGAAGTAAGTATTTTGCAGTTAAGCTCGGCCCCCTTGGTTCACGGCGAATAAAAAAATTATCACAATTGAGATAGGGCGGGTGGGCGGGCTTACATTTTGTCTTTTTGTTTTAATATGTGTGAATTTCTTTTCACAACATGAAACTTAAAACAGCAAATAGTTCCTTTGCTTACCCTCAGGAAGTAAAAATACAATAAAATATTTTAAACTTAACACAAATTTATAAATTATTCTTTAAAAATATCACACAAACTTAGTTCATAAAAGTCAAAATGACTAAACTTTAAAATTAACCTGTGCTATTTTATATATATCAGAATCAATTTTCTTTTTCAATACTTGTAATGGCCAGCTTTGTTAATCTATCTTGGGTCAATTTTTTATTAACTTCAGCTTAGAAAATGATCTTCCGCCTTCAGCTACTGCCGTGCACAAAGTTTAGCTGAACCTCGTTTTTTCATCTATTTTGACCAAAAAACGGTTTTCAGGGTCGATTTTGGATTTGGTTTAATACTGAAAAATTTCTACAACTTCGATAAGGCCGTGCAAATTTGGTTGTACTGTTTTATGTCCACATGTGCCGCCTTTCTCTGTTTTACTGTGTGGGCTAATTTCAGAAACTTCAGCAGAGGTAAGTAAAAATATTTTTCAAACGTGAATAAACTTTGTATTCTAGAATACAAAATCTATTGGGACTGGCTTTGGACACTACTCTTAATTCTCTATTACTACTGGAGCTTCAAAATAACTGGTAGGGCTATTAAAGACTCTACTTTTAAACTGCCTCTGGGAATATTTTTAGCAATGGAAACCGTAAGTTTGCGCGAATGTGTTAAACTTATACCACGAAACCAATTTTAGGTGCGATTTTTAATGAAAGTGCATTCATTTGTACGAAACAATGTTTCTAGGGTTATTGCACAAGAGAATTGCAAGCGAGTTTTTCCAAAATTTTCCAATTTTCTGTACTTTCTTTTCGCTCCGACTCTCATATACAAAGATGCATATCCAACCAAAAAGAAGATTAACTGGAAGTTTTTGGGTTTTCTTCTCTTCGAAAGTGGTTGTATAATGTTAATGTTCAGCTACGTGGCAGACACGGTGAATTCGCACATCCAAGATTACGGTTTGCGAAAGTTTACCGTAACTGAACTGGTAGTGGCCATTGCCCAAAACATCGTTCGAGTTGGAACATTAACCATGTTATCCATATTTGCTTTTTATCTCCACTGTCTTCAAAATATCTTTGCTGAACTTACGGGATTTGAAGACAGATTTTTTTATAGCGACTGGTGGAACGATAGCAATCCCAAAGCGTGGTTGCGAAAGTGGAATCCAATTGTTGAAGAATGGCTTTACTTTTATGTATATATGGAATTCAAAACACATGTTTGCAATAATACGTTTCTCACGAAAATTGTAACTATTAGTCTGTCGTTTGTGGTTCACGACTGGCTTCTGACCGCCTTAGTAGGTAGTTTTTGTCCGTTTATGTTTATAGGAATATTAATATTGATGTTCCCTCTGTCTTGTTTCTCGTTGCCTAAACACAAATTCGTTGTTGTTTGGAATTGGCTCGTTATGAGTTTTGGTTGGAATCTGGTGATATTTGTGTATTCTTTAGAATATCATACACAAATGAACGCCCCTGTCAAAAATCTAACGTTTTTACAAACATTGATGCCAAAATTTATGCTTTCTGACTGTCTTTCTCTAGAATAAGGTGCGATTTGGAGACCGGAAATGACACCAACTTCATTCTTTGAAATGAAATATTTGGTTTTTTTTTTTAATGGAAACTTGCTTCTTTACTATAAAAAATCAAATATAACCAATATTCTGAAATCAATAATTAAGAGTTATTTAGAAAAATAAGTCGAAAGCTGCATTCAAATCTGGTGTTTGATCTGTCAGTTCAACGTTTGTAACAAAAAGATTGTTAGATTGTAGATGTTTTGGAAATTTTCAATAGGTACCATAATAGGACCATACTTTTTATCAACCTGAATGGTGAGCAATATTTAAGTATTCTGCTGTAAATGTATTTAGATAACTTACCATTGAATCATGTCCAAAACTTATATTTTCAATAGGATGGGGCACCACCTCACAACGTGAGAAATGTGGATATTTTTTCACAGAAATGTTTCAAGAGACAAAAAATATGGCCTCCAAGATCTCCTAATTTGAACCCCATTGATTATTTCCTTTAGGGTTTCATAAAAGATGATGTTTACTTTTTGAAACAAGGCGTCAGAGAGGTTTGCAGAACATTAAATCCACAGTTTATAACGAATCCCACACAAGGTGGTTTTTGTAGATAGAAAAATTTGTTTTATTTAAATTTAATGAAACTGTGCCATTTTCATAAAGAAATATTAATTTTACATTTATTTTACTGAATAACTATTAGATTAGTATTTTTCGAAATTTAGTTGCTGTTGATTTTTTTTTTTTGGTAAAAAATGCAAACGATTCATTTATTAAAAATATACTCGGTGTTCCATTGAAAATATAAAGTTGATGTCATTTCGGGTGTTGCCGAAAGTCAGAACTAAAGAAAGTGTTTACCGTCAAATAGATCGTCCATTACGATACTAATTTGTCCAAAGGACCTAATTACAAAAATAAAAAAAGTCACAGAGGTTCTATCAAATAAAAAAGTTCTTGGTTGTAAAGACAAATTTTGTAAAAATTTAAATTAAATAAAAAAAACTTAAGTATTGTATAATAATTACTTTATTGTTAATACGCAATAAACTTGTCGTAAATAATTTTTTGGGTTTTTGTAATGAATTATGCTTCAAAAATAAAATTTTACAATGATTGATACTCAGAATATTTGCTTATACTAGAAAAAGGATTATTTTGACTCCAGACAAGGAGTCCTTAGTTCCACAAATCTGGTGCTCCCGAGAAGTCTAGAAACGGTGACGTAGGCGTTTCGAGAAGGACCGCGTGCTGTTTAAATGGGAACCACTGTCGGGAGCAGTTAGTGTAGTTGAGACAACGAGAGCTGAATTCAGTTAACAAGTCGAGTCCAACGAGTGTCGAGAAAACCCAATAAAGTTGAGTTATTGAGAAATAAATTCTTCAATTTAACCCACGTCGATTTAAATCACCCGTTCAACGTAACAATATTCAACGTCTGCAGTTTCACCCATCTATTTTCTGTAAGTCTGAAATATTGCTATTCACTATTGGCAAAATTTTGAAAGCCCATTATTTGAGTAAAAATCACATGATGTAATTTCCAATGTCGAAAAAAAATATAATGGTAGAAATGTTATTTTCGTCGAATTATATGAGCTCTGAAATATATTTTAGCTTGTTTTGACGTTTCTGATCGTCACTTGCGATAGGCAGAATGGATTCATTTTGCGAAAAGGAGACGATTAGATACATTTTTCCCATTCTAGTGTTTGTAGATTCTAGAAATTCGTTAAAAACATGAACAAATGCTCGCGGATTTAATTTTTTAACCGGTTGGAAAGTCTCCAATTTCCAACGTATAAATTCCAGGCAACTCGATTTTGAATGGGATTTAATTATTATACAGGATCATCATAAAATATTGTAGTCAAGGAAGACCATGACTTTGTTGACGTTGTGTTCCGCCTTTCACAGTTTTGTGGAAACGATTACACTAGTATTGGAATTTTTATTTTTAACGCGATATCAGATTCTGTGGGACGTCAATAATTTTTTCGTTTTTAATGATTAGCTTATGTGCATTTCCCCACACTTTGTGCGTTAATTGACTTGCCTTGTTGTTTTCATTTGCTGTCTTCCCCTTTGTTTGAACTTTAAGTATCTCAAAAAACAGTTTTTATCAAAACTTCAGATCATTTTGGAATAATCTCAGGTAATGAACACAGAGTAATGACTATAGTCAGTCAGAAAGAACTATTCACTATTGACACATGATGTATAAATTAGCAAAAAAAGAAGACAAATAAACGCAGAATTAAATTTAATTTAACGAAATAACAGAAACAGAGCGACAATTTGAGAGACGTCTCTAAGAGTTAACGGCATTGTTTTGGGAGAACGTTTATTAACTGCTAAACTTATAATCAAATGATGAAAAATACAGTTTACAACAACACCCTCCTTTATTGTTTTAATTAAGAAAATATCATACTTGGTCTGTCTCTGATATTTTGTTAAATTAAATTTAATTCTGCATTTAGTTGTCTTCTTTTTTTTGCTAATTTGTACATCATGTCAGTGGTTCTTTAATAAAATAAAGATCATTAGTTAAATTAATAATTTTTAAAGTGGTTTTGCGAAATTTTCAGGATGGCCGGTTTTTTGCTGATCAGTGTATAAACATAAGCACTTTCAAGTTGTTTCTCTTATCGAGGATAACCAAAGGACGTAGTACAGTAATGGAGTCCATTGGGCAATTTGGTACTTTCAAAGTTTCTATATATTTCATAAGGTCATAGCTAGGGGGAGGCTAGGGGATGCTCCCCTACATCTAGACAAGTTATAATTAAGCAAATGTGAATTACAGCATCCAAAAACCAAATAAAATCTAGTGTTTTATTCAATAAGCGGGAGTCAGAGCAATAAAAAGTCTGGATCGTCGGCATTGTCATCCGGTTATTGCAGTTCCTAGAAAACATGTGCTACTTTAGTTTGTGTTTCACCATCACGTCTACAGGTTAATAAGTGTTATGACTATTTGTCTTAAATTACAAGTACTATACAGGGTGTTCATTTTATTTGTTCACGCCTGACAATTTTTGCATAGGCAACATATTATACACCCCAGAGACGACTTCGTCCAATTTAATTGACCCTTTTCCTGTAAGATCGTAAAACTTCCATAGTGACTTTCCGTGCGCACGCATCTTCAAAACCACGTTGGAAATAGTTTCCGGCACTCCGGCAGCAGAGCAAAGGCCTGTGGCAACAAACCGCTTTGACAGAATGCAACCGGCTACACATGCGTAATCTGTTGCTCATTGGTTAATTTAAACTTGGCGCTCCAAAAATCTGACTTCGCCTGCGCGATGTTGTCTCACTCTGTATCATTGGAATTTATATAATGTCTACTCACTTTGCTTACAGGAAAAGGGTCAATTATTTTTTTTAATAAGCAATCATAGCAATCACACAAAAAAAAAATGGCAAAGATGTCAATACTAAATAATCACAAAATTAAAAAAATTAATACTCAATTTATTTTAAAATGCTCCGCTGCAAAAATGTAATGCGAAAAAACATAATAGGCATGCAGTCGTCGCGTTTCCGACAGCGAGGGAAGTACTAAACTAAACTTTTTAGACCAAATTTTTAAAGAGGGCGAAACCTTCTCGGGAGAGGGGGGGGGGGGAAGTGTCTTTTTTTAAGAATATTAAATCTTCTCGAGGCTTCCAACTGTCGTTTTTTTACGAAGGTGAAGCCCTAGTACCTTCTATATTATTCCGCAAAATCAAAGTTTATAATTTTTCAGAAAAGCAGTCAGTATTTGTTGGACTGTACTTCAGAAGCGAGGAAAGTTCTGTCAAAATAACTTTCGACCAATTTTTTAAATGTTTGTAAAGCCTAGAACATTTTTTCAAAATTTCAGCGGGATTGCTTCGTATACAGTGATATGATGCAATTTCTGCCAAACATTTTGACATAAGTCAATTTATTTATGTGGCATTTATAAATTATGGCTGCCCATGGGTTTTACGAACTTTAAGAAATATAAATTCGTAAAAACTTTATTGTTTTATTTTAGTTTAGAAAAATGTTGAAAGTTTCTGTTTTTCGTGGAATGCTTCGGCCTTTTCCTATGCAAATTTATTAAAAATGGCTCCTTTGACTTCGCTATAGGCAACTAAACCTAATAAACAGGCCACGGAGCACGGAGGTCAAATTCGGTACGGCTCGTGAGTGATGGGAATTCAGTTCAGTTACCGGCTACACTTCGTGTATTTTAGAATGGCATAATGCTGCTTAGTTGCATTCTAATGTTCACTCCTGTCGTCATTTACTAATCAGCCGTTTTACTAAGTTTTCGTTTATTTTATTTATGGAAATAGATTAGATTAAATTCGCTGATTGTCACCCGCCACTGATTCACCGTCACGTTTACAAGTTAATAAGTTAGTGTTAAGACTATTTAACGTAGTCCCCCAGGCGTCCGGTCACAATAAATAAATATTTGCTTGCCAATTATTTTTTTATTGGCAATCTAACAGATATACCCTAAAGGTGTAATTCGAACTGGTTCAATTCATTTAGAGTAGCAATTATCTATCCATCCTTCGTAATTATGTCTCCTGAAAAGAAAAATACCAACAAAACGTAGTTTTCAAAAAATATTACTATTTCAAACCTAAAGTATTTATTCTAGAGCTGCAGGAAGAAAGTTTTTAGCTAGAAACTCATTATTGACGGATACTTTCCAAAAAAGTGAAAATGCCAACGTCTACCATATTGTTTTGCTTATTTTATGCCATTTTTTTATCGCCACAGGACTGACCCAGTACACACATAACAAAAGGTAAGAACTAATTTTTAAAAATTTAAGGTGCTTTTTCTGTTTTTTTTTTGTTCTGTCCTCAATAAACCACGTTTCTTTGAAAAATTATATAAAATTTTTATCTTCTGATATCAATGATAGCCTTTACATGGTAAAAACCAGTGGTGTAAATGAAGCCTTGAAGCTCGTGCGCCGCGAGGGCGCAAATTCCAAAGCGGTATTATTATCAGTGTACGTGCTTAACTTCGATGGTTTATATTTATACATCGAAATAATGTCACATAGAAATTTGTTTGATTTGAATTAGTTATCTCTTCAAAACACAGGAATAAAATCATTATTAATTCAGCCACAATGGAACAAAATATTTTGAACATGATTATTATTCTTATTTGATCGCAGTTAAATAAAAAATGGATTTTCAGGGTTGATTTTGGATTTGGTTTAATACTGAAAAATTTCTACAACTTTGATAAAGCTGTGCAAATTTGGTTGTTCTGCTTTGCGTCTACATGTGCCTCCTTCCTCTGTTTTACTGTGTGGGCTAATTTCAGAAACTTCAGCAAAGGTAAGTGAAAATATTTTTCAGAGATGAAATAAACTTTGCATTCTAGAATACAAAGTCTATTGGGACCGGCTTTGGACCCTATTCTTAATTCTCTATTACTACTACAGCTTCAAAATAACTGGTATTGCTATTAAAAACTCTGCTTTTAAACTGCCTTTGGGAATATTTTTAGCAATGGAAACCGTAAGTTTGTGACAATGTGTTAAAATTTTTACGAGGAAATCAATTTTAGGTACCTACGACTTTTAATGAAAGTGCATTCATTTGTACGAAACAATGTTGCTAAGGTCATTGCACAAGACAACTGTATTCAAGTTTTTCCAAAATTTTCTAACTTTCTGTATTTTCTTTTCGCCCCGACTCTCATCTACAAAGATGAGTATCCAACCAAAAAGAAGATTAACTGGAAGTTTGTGGGTGCTCTTTTGTTCGAAAGTGTTTGTATAATGTTAATGTTTAGCTACGTGGCAGACACGGTGAATTCGCACATCCAAGATTACGGTTTACGAAAGTTTACCGTAACTGAACTGGTAGTGGCCATTGCCCAAAATATCGTTCGAGTTGGAACATTAACCATGTTATCTATATTTGCTTTTTATCTCCACTGTCTTCAAAATATCTTTGCCGAACTTACGGGGTTTGAAGACAGATTTTTTTATAGCGACTGGTGGAACGATAGCAATCCCAAAGCTTGGTTGCGAAACTGGAATCCAATTGTTGAAGAATGGCTTTACTTTTACGTATATGTGGAATTCAAAACACATGTTTGCAATAATACGTTTCTCACGAAAATTGTAACTATTAGTCTGTCGTTTGTGGCTCACGATTGGCTTCTGACCGCCTTAGTAGGTAGTTTTTGTCCGTTTATGTTTATAGGAATATTAATATTGATGTTCCCTCTGTCTTCTTTCTCGTTGCCTAAACACAAATTCGTTGTTGTTTGGAATTGGCTCGTTATGAGTTTTGGTTGGAATCTGGTGACATTTGTGTATTCTTTAGAATATCATACACAAATGAACGCCCCTGTCAAAAATCTAACGTTTTTACAAACATTGATGCCAAAATTTATGCTTTCTGACTGTCTTTTTCTAGAATAAGGTGCGATTTGGGGACCAGAAATGACACCAACTTCATTCTTTGAAATGGAATACTTGTTTTTTTTTTTAATGGAAAGCTTGCTTCGTTACTATAAAAAATCAAATATAACCAATATTCTGAAATCAATAACGTAGGGCCGGTTGCATAAACGCAAATCAAAGTTAATCTCTGATTAACTCCATAGTAACGATTGTTATTATCATAGTTACAATTGTTCTTAATCAGAGATTAAATTTGATTTGCGTTTATGCAACCGGCCCTAAGAGTTATTTAGTAAAATAAGTCGAAAACTGCATTCAAATCTGGTGTTTGATCTATCAGTTCAACGTTTGTAACAAAAAGATTGTTAGATTGTAGATGTTTTGGAAAATTTCAATAGGTACCATAATAGGACCATACTTTTTATCAACCTGAATGGTGAGCAATATTTAAGTATTCTGTTGTAAATGTATTTAGATAACTTACCATTGAATCATGTCCAAAATTTATATTTTCAATGGGATGGGGCACCACCTCACAACGTGAGAAATGTGGATATTTTTTAACAGAAATGTTTCAAGAGACCAATAATATGGCCTCCAAGCTCTCCTAATTTGAACCCCATTGATTATTTCCTTTGGGTTTCATAAAAGATAATGTTGACTTTAGTGAATGGAGAGACAAGGCGTCAGAGAGGTTTTCAGAAGATTAAATCCACAGTTTATAGGGAATACCCCACAAAGTGGTTTTTGTAGATCGAAAAATTTGTTTTATTTAAATTTAATGTAAGTGTGCGATTTTCATAAAGAAATATTAATTTTACGTTTATTTTACTGAATAACTATTTGATTAGAATTTTTCGAATTTTGGAAAAAAATGCAAACGATTCATTTATTAAAAATATACTCGGTGTTCCAGTTAAAATATAAAGTTGATGTCATTTCGGGTGTTGGCGGAAGTGAGAACTAAAGAAAGTGGTTACCGTCAAATAGATCGTCTATTACGATACTAATTTGACGAACTCAAGTACTGTGTAATAAATAATTTATTGTTAATACGCAATAAACATGTCGTAAACAATTTTTGGGGGTTTTTGTAATGAATTATGCTGCAAAAATAGAATTTTACAATGATTGACACTCAGAATATTTGCTTATACTAGAAAAAGGATTCTTTTGACTCCAGACAAGGAGTCTTTAGTTCCATAAATCTGGTGTTCCCGAGAACTCTAGAAGCGGTGACGTAGGCGTTTCGAGAAGGACCGCGTGCTGTTTAAATGGGAACCACTGTCGGGAGCAGTTAGTGTAGTTCAGACAACGAGTGTCGAGAAAACCCAGTGAAGTTGCGTCAGAATTATTTTGTACATAATCGCTGTGTAACCAGTCGTGTAAATTTGAGTTACTTAGAAATAAATTGTTGAGTTTAACCCACGCCGATTTTAATCGCCCGTTCAACGTAACAATATTCAACGTCGGTAGGTTCATCCATCTACTTTCTGTAAGTCTGAAATACTGCTATTCACTATTAGCAAAATCTTCAAAGTCTATATTTCAGTAAAAATCACATGTGGTGTTGTAATTTCCAAAGTCGAAAAACAATATATATTTTGACTTATTTTGAAGTTTCTGATCGTCATGGTGCATTTGAGATACGCAGAATCGGTTTATTTTGCGAAGAGGAGACGATTGGATACATTTTCCATATTCTGGCATTTATAGATTAAAAAAATTCGTTAAAAAAAACTTCAGAAATGTTACTTTTCAAGCTTTTCTTGGATTTTCTATCGTTTCTGGTACCCAATGGGCTCGAAAATACCAACGAAACTATCAAATTTTAGCTAGTTATCTTATTTTTGTCGAATTATATGAGTTCTGAAGAATATTTCGATTTGTTTGGACGATTCTGATTATCATAAGCACTAGGAAAACTTTTTTATTCACAATCGGTCGAGAATATACGGTTTTCCAATTTTTAAACACATGAAAAATGAGCAATTGTTCGCGGCTTTAATTTTTTAACCGGTTGGAAAATCTCCACTTTTCAACCTATAAATTCCAGGCAACTCGATTTTAAATGAGATTTAATTATTATATTTCCAATGACCGTGAATAAATGTCAATTTTAGCATTTTTCAACGCTTGCTGTTTTAAATTGGGACATTTTTGTTTTATTTTCAAGCTTGTTAAAACGACTGTGAATAAATTGTGAATAAAATAGCATACAAACCTCGTGGTTTCTCGAGAAATAGTTCACCAGGGTTATCTTTTTTCTCGAAAGTAATGAAACACTTTCCCCTCGGTATGTAATATACCGCGTGATGAGAAATAACTGAGTCTGTTGGCAATCTTGGATTTTTCGTTGAAATTGGTATCACTATGTATTATGTTATGCTAACATAAACGCAAGAAAACTTTACATTTTTGTTTAAAAACACATGGCATTATTATAGACATTGGAATATCACATTTACGTTTAGGAAAACCCTTGCTACAGGTTTCTGATATCCGTGAAGGAAGTTTGTCAAGATCTATTTTATAAAATTTTCATCTCAGTCTAAATATAGTATGGAAGACCTGGGGATTCCACATTTTTACTTTCCCGGTTTCAACAGCTGCTAAGATTGACAGTTTACTTATTTTAAAATTTGCAAAATGTATTCAACAGTCAACATTTTAACTCTAAATAGAATTGTCTTGAAAAATTGTAAATATTAATTTTTAATATTGACATCAGTTGCAATTTAAAAGTCTGGTTTAGGACTAGTGCTAAGAGTAGACAAAAAGGATATTTTGAGGTGGAACAGAAATTAGAAAAAGGAAACTGGAGGGGCAATGGAAAACTCGGGTACCAATTTTTTAACGCACTGTACTCTTCTACAGCGATTCGCGGAGTATTCGATAAAGAAAAAAATCGGGAGTAGATTGTAAAACAAATGCTGGTATCTCAAAAGGTGACACATTTTCGTAACAACTTTTATTAAAAATACATATCTGTACAATTTAAATACTGACAATTTTAGTCTTTCCCTCTCCCAAGATCATATCCCAGGTTTCTTATACCCTGCATTACAACGTTTACTGAAATTCGGACTTCTCCATAACTGATCATTTGAATCACTGAAACAGAAGAAAATTATGTGATCAGGACATAAATATCTCTCAAAATAAGTTAATTAAGTTAATATTTAGTATGTGATGGCTGTATACATCAGTTTAGATTTCAGAAATCGGAAATGTAACATAATAATAATGTTAATTTTAACAGTCATACTATTGAACCTATAAAAGCAAATTTTATGGTGTACGAATTTCTGTTACGTATGTTAGTAATTAATTCTTGACCGTTTTTAACCACAAACATTAAAAGTGACGCTTATGTAATATGTAAAAATTAGGACTAGTACGTACGGTGATTTCCGGCAGTGGTGGCCAACATCTTAGGCTGAAGCAATTCCGGTTGGTATCCAAAAAACGACCCGACATATCCCAGCATCGACGATGGTTGCGGTTTGGCTAAAGAAGCGTCGAGTTTATGAACACCTGGTCTCAGGGGCATGTGTATCCGACCATATCCTTCCAACTGCATGCCCTTGTAAACACTGAGAACAAGTTGAGGCCCTGAAATATTTGTAAACAAAAAACAATGAGAGTTTTTCAAACTAGTAAAAATATAAAAAGAAACTTGTTGATTATAAGTGGTCTCAAAATTAATTCAAAACAACCTGCTTAACTTATCAAGTCACTCACGCCCCAGTAAGACGCTATTCTACTTACAGCCATAGATGTTGGTGGATTTAAAGTTAATTTCCAGAGGAAAATTCAGCACAACCCTATCACCGTTGACGACAACGTTGGATATCTGGGATAAGCCGGCTTCCAGCCCCCCTATTATTTTCCAATCTGGTCCAGTAACGAACTCGTATTTGCAATGCCACGCACTACCTGCCGGCGCTAAAATGTCGACGTATTCAATCTGGCCGGTAACGGAAACTAGAAATGTGCCGTCTGACATAGTCCAGACAAGCTGATGCCATTCTTCATCAATTATACAATATGTTTGTATTGCACCGACTGGTACTGTCAATCAATATGGAAAACGGTCGCCGCGAGGGAATGACACGAAAAAGGGGCAGGTTGCCATGGTATCGTTTGTTTGTAAATACAGACCAACTGGATGATAGATGGTCGATAACACTTCATTTGCAGCATATTTGCAGGTAGGAGGTTAAGAGGGACGATCCAGACAAGCGAAAAATTAGTTTGATTGTATACTATGTTATTTGATTATTGTTTACTGGTGTATGGATGGGCAAATTTAGTGCTAATGTTACTGTAGACTGTAGTCGTGTGATGGCAGAGCGTGTGAAAGTTTTGGGATGTGATAGACAGGAGGTTTGACCCCGCCCTTCAAAGCCTTTGGAAGGATTTCGGCACCGAAGTTATGTAATTGAAAAAAAGGAATATTCAACAAAGAATTTTATTTCCTAATAATTACAATTCTAACCCAGACTTAAGACTAAGATATTATAATAAATTTTGTGGTTATATACTAATGATAATAATGGTAAATACAGATAATTGAGCGTGAGAAACCACAGCTCTAATAAAAGAAAGTAAATATGAGTGGATAAACAATAAAAGTCAAAATTCCACTCATTAATGTAACTCCTCCCCCGTTAGGTCGGAAAATAAGACGGATGTTTTATTTTTTGCGCTGTTTTCCCGTTCAGGTCGTGGAAATTTCTTCAGACATCTGAAATGGTCTCTATAGGTGTAAACAACCCAGCCAAAAATCAGAAGTGCCAGATTATCAACACTGATAACTAGAGAACGGATTTTATGAAATTTGCATATCCGTTATTTTTTGCATATAAGTCTTGATATTTAATATGTGAACGAATCATGCTAATTAAAAATGAATACAGCTATAAAAAAAATTGCATATTTGCATATATTTGTCTTCTGCTGCATATTTCACGTAACCGGTGCATATTTTGCATTTTTATCCATTTTTGTGGTAATTTGAAAAAAAAAAGATTATCATTCTATCGGCATTTATTGTAGTCCCAGTTTAAAGCGGTTTTTATGACAAAATAATTAACATTATCACTTCGTTATTACCCCACGACGGACAATATTAAATAACAAAGTACGGCCTTGCAAAGAAACCGACCACGTTCTTATTTATGGCTAGGGAATGACTTCATTGTCCCCATCGTCAACTTCGACACAATGGACCCTTCATAAAAACCACTTTAAACTGGGAAGACTACATCTAGAAAGTCGAAATTTCATTCATCATATAGCAAATATTTTCCTGAGCTTCAAATAACTAGGAAAGGTTTGGGTTTTATGGTAATTTGGAGAAACCACTGGGTGTTAAACCATCCAGCAGGTAAATTCGCGCTCTAATTCCTTTTGGAAATAAGGCTTGTCCCAGAAACTTTTGCACATATTTTGTTTTTGAGTAAAATAAGAACGTCTCAACAAATCGAATCAAATTTATTTACAGTATACTACAACAGCAGTAAAATTATGAATTTCTTAATTACTTGTTTAAAATTAACGGCTTACGGGAAAATAATCTCACTTTAGATCTAATGCGACGCATTATTTTTTGCAAATTTGCACTAGAAACTTTTTTACTTCCCATCATCCACAATTTTTTGAAGAATTCAAAATTTTTGGCGCATTTCCCTTCTTCCCTTAACTAGAACCCAATATCTTTCAACAAGCCGGAATTCAGGTAAGTTTGAGGGGTTATTTTCATTGTCTGGATATTGCACTCTAATCTGCGCAAACCAATTCTTCGCTAATTGTGAGTAATGCAAAGTAGCTAGGTCTGGCCAAAAGAAAGTAGAACCAGGGTGAGCTCCTAAAAAAGATAGTAATCGAGCTTGAAGACATTTTCGGACACAAAAATCAGTGTTGGTGCTGCTTTCAACAAAAAAATCCTGTTTCTCTTGCCACATTGGCAAATTGCTTGCCAAACAAGAACTTTGCGGCCAAATTTTTGCAAAAAAATGTATTTTTCTTTGTCTCTGACATCTATCAATGGTCCGTTTTACCGTCCACTGCGTCGCATTAGCCTCTTTCACTATTAAATTTAAAGATTTTTGACAATGTTCGGACCAAATTTGCAAAATTCGTTGTCTTACACTAACTCTTTTTGACGACATTTTGAGAGCCGACTGATTAAAACAAAAAAACTAATGACAGATGTGTAGACCATGGCCTACTGTAGCATATATATTTTACTTAATTCAAATGTCAATTAAACAACTTTAATAGCAGAATTTAAATATGGTGCAAAACTTTCTGGGACAAGCCTTACGTTCATTCCCAATATTTTTGTTCGTTACTTCAGTGTATTAATGACATGTTTTGTGGTGGTCAAAGGGACGTTATCCTATTATTTTTCATCGTGAGTTTGCATTGAGGCATTTAAAGCGATACAGGTGTGTCAATATGTCGAAGATAACTCAAATTAATTTATGGATTAAACCTTTTCCTGAACTTATTCTTCAAGAAGCAACTGTGTTTTGTCGCGTCTGCTCTAAACCGGTATTTATTTTTACATCTGTGGACGTAGTAGGTACACAGTTTTTCTATTTACAAATACATACTTTAGAATCACTTTTTGTTCAATATTTCGAAAAATATTTAAAAATAAATTGTTACCAAAATAGTAATTAAATAGTCGATTACTACTATCTTTCGATTTGTTCTGTTTATATTTAATTTTTAGTATAAAAATATTAATATTTATGATTTATGTATTTTTTGTAATAAAATGGAAACCTGTTTTTGTAATTTGTAAATCAATTTAGTTCACTTATTAAGCTTTTTTTTTAATTGTTGGAGCATATGCAAATGCATATCTCTGCATATATTAAGAAAGTTACTGCATATTTCCATAAATTTCGTGCATATCATATGATCATATTTCCCAAAATTTTGCTGCATATTTTCCGCTCTCTACTGATAACAAAGTTGACGTCATATGCGCCTGATAGTGGACCGGTGGTGTTGGATGAAGATGACTCGCTTCGGCTTGTATTTTAGAGATCTCATCGAGGTGGATGTTGTCCAAATGGATGTTACCACTGTGTATAGGAGGTTCATTGGCACCTCCCAAGGGTATTTCGTGTAGAAGGAATGGTTGCCCAATTATCAAGTCATCTTTGTTGCTAAATCTGAAACTATCACCAGATATATCACAATGTTGGGGAATTTTAATCAGACTCGGTTTATCTATAAGCAGGTATCCTGGATGTTCGCAAGTCTTCTTTATGCGCAAAGCTTTGGTTGATGGAATGATCAAAGCATAATTGTCGCTGATTTGTGTGACAATTGGATTGCTGAAGTGGACTGAGGTAGCTCGACAGTTCTGAACATTGGTGTTTTGTATACAGGAGATAACACAGTCATTTTCTTGATTTAGAATAAGTTTGTCGACGCAGATATGGATATCTTCGGTTAGGTGACATTCTTGATCTTCGTATTGATGACGGTGAGATCCGAGAATAAGGAAGGGATTAGGTGGAATAATTGTTAGGTTTTTTTGTGGTATTGGATATAAATGATAGAAGTCAAAATTTTTTGAGTTGAAAATAGGCATTTGTATAGCGAAAAGGATTTTGTAATTGCTAAAAGAAACTTTTAAATTTGCTATTCGATAATAAGAAAAAATACTTTTAAACTGGGGAATTTTTTTTATTTGTATATAGCTTGCCTAAAGTTTTGAGGATCTGATTTAAATCAGTAATAAGAGAAATAACGGAATAATGTAAGGTATTTAATTTTGCAAATGTTATGGCATCCTCTATATTATCAAGAAATCTTATCAAGCTCTGACAATTCAGATTAATTTGATTTAAAACAGTTTGTGTTTTAATATAATCGTCCAATGTTTTATAGATACTATCTTGGAACAAATTTAGTTTTTTCTCTATCAACTTTTGGTTTTTGTTGAGAGTTGTAATCGTATTATTATAATTTTCAATTAATCGTTGAGTCAAAGAAACTTGCAGTTGAACTTGTTTAGAAGTAGATTGTTGGTTATCTGATAATATTTGAAGAGCTTTGTCGTACCGTTCTGCATCATCAGAATCTAAAGTTCCGAACAAAAATTTCGATGTTTTTCCTACCAGGTCTATTAATGCCCTCTTGTTTCGAAAATGAGGAACAAGATTATTTATTCTAGTTAGTGGCCTCTAGGATGATGATGATGAGTTAGTGAGTGTATTATTAATAAGGTTAAAATAACTGATGCTATTATCTAACAGATTAATTAGTGGTTTTATTTTGATATAATGGGTAAAGGTGTGTTTTCATCACCTAATATGTTAATTTTCTTAAATTTAGATTTAGCTTTATCTCATTTTTTTGTTTTCACAAAACCGGACTTATGTATATCGTAAGTATCGGGTTCTTTTCTTTGGGCGTTTAGTTTCTTAATAACGTATTTTTTTGGTTTTAAAGATTTTTGCTGTATATCGGCATATAATGATTTTACATTTTCTTTATGGTTTTGAATATAGTTGGAGATTATTTTATTATCGGTCAAATCAAAGGGATCGCTAGAATTGATGTGACCTTTTATAATTTCAAAAGGTGTATACCCAGTAACAGAATGAACTGCATTATTGTAACCGATTATGCTACAGTTAATTAAGGTATCGGAATTTTCTTTGGGTTTTGACAGTTTAAGTTTAATAAGGCACCTAATTTCTTCAGCTAAAGTAGAATGGAAACGTTCTACAGGTGAATTACTGTTAGAATTTTTTGGTGTGGTATAATGTAGTTCAATCTTATGAAGCTTACAAAAATCACTTAACACGTTATTTTTGAATTCGCCACCACAGTCTGTCGTAATTTTTAAAGGCAAACCGTGATGTGAAATGAAAATAAGTAAACCATCGATTATATTTGTTGGATTTAAAGACTTGATGGGATATGCTTGGCCGTATCGAGAAAAAGAGTCCAAAATTGTCAAATAGGTGTGGTTTAAAATTTTGAATGTATCTATATGTACATGTTCAAATGGTTTTGAAGCGGTAGGGGTCAGATTAAATTTTAACACTGGTGGATCTCTATCGTATTTGGCAACTTGACAAATTTTGCAATCATTCACATAATTAGTTATATCCTTAATCATGTCGGGCCAATAGTAATTCTTACTTAAAGAAGCCTTCATTTCGTTTATACCTTTATGACATGTTTTGCCTTCGTGAAAATATTGTAGTTTTAAATGTCGTTCTTCTGGATCTAAAACGTCTTGTAAAATCAAATTTGTTTTTATGAACTGAAAGGATGAATTTTTAAAAACACTTTGAACCATATTTATGAAAGTAGTAGCGATATTTGTATTTTTAAAATATAAACAATAAGTTTGTTTTGAATCGATGTACTGTTTAATCACGGAAATT